ACTTTACGGCGCTTCGCGCTTGGCAATGTGAGAGCATAGTCCGGTGAGAACCCGGCGTGCTCCGTCCCGGCTGTGTAGGGATGCGAGGTCAATGGTCGATGTAACAACTACGGCATGCACGACTATGTGTACAACCCCCCCCCCCCCGGCGTGAACGTACCGCCGTTTAGAGTACGCCGGACAAGAATGTGAAGACAATGAGAAGGTAGTGAAAGAACTCGACGCGGCGCAGATGAAAGCAGCGAAAATCATCCTAGGATGCTCCAAGCGCACAAGCAATGCAGCCGTCAGGGCAGAATTGGGGATCCAATCGCTACGGTCGGGAAGAGACGCAAGGAAGCTGACATATGGCAGTATCGCATGTGCGGGATGGGAGAGGAGAGGTTGCCGAGAATAGTATGGGAGGCGAAGCGGGCAAACAAAAAGAGGGGTAGACAAACCACGGAATGGGTCAAGGTTGTAGAGGACATATGGAAGGGGTTAGACATCGACGAAGATGAAACACTGGAAACGGAGGGTCTACAGGGGTTCAAGGGGCAGATATCTGTTCGGGGGGGGCGCCGAGAAATACAGACATTGCACAACAAGCGATCAAGATAGAAAATTATATTATATCTTTCAAGGTTCTCTTCGTATGTCAAAAGTGGGCAAGCAATCGTGAGGCAACGTGAGAACACATGGAAGTCTATTCAGTACAGTCGGCGAAAACTCAACGACGAACTTGCCCCGGCATCGAGGGCCGACGGGTGACAGGGAGCGTCTTCTGCCTAACTCATTATTACTCAGGCACAGCATCAGAGCTCGAACACTTTGACTCCGATTTCTGGCCGCATGGGGGATGTTCTCGGCGGTCGTTAAACCTCTTTGGCCGTTTCGCTGTGGTATTGAGCATAGGTACGAGTTAGCCTGTGACGTCACTCATGTCTGTTCGTATACCCTGGTGTGTGTTGAAGGTGCTTGTATCACTTGTATTGGGTACAGCAGACGAGATCAAGAATCTGAGACAGGCGACGGGAGAGAGAGTGCCACCACGTACCAACGCACAGAGAGCCGAGCCTCGTGGATCAACCAGGGTACAATCAATTCCTATCAGCATACATTTTGTAGCCAATGTGTCTACGGTCCGGTTGGAATAGCCTCATTCGTTCATTGTCTATTCTACCAACAGAGTCCGAAAGCTTCCCTGTACCTCCACTGTGTAACTCCCTTCAAAGGCGAAAGAGGCCCACACGCTGTATACGTTGAACCGGTGCTTGCCAGTCGTTTACATTGTTTAGTGATGGATGCCCAAAGGACCCATAGCCCCACACCGTCCAGGGCGCCACAGAACCATAGGCAGCCTCTTGAAGATGGAAACGTGGAGCACGTACAGTAAGTGACGTGATTGGCAACATCCCCCAGGGCATAGTGTATACATGCACACGGAATCTGGAAAAGCGTGCCGTACATACGGCGGAACAGTAATGGTAGTGGATTAGCGCCACCAAAGAATTAGACGATTGATACCGTGGGCATACCATACTGTGCGGTTGCTATGACACACCCGAGAGTATATACCCAGGCAGTCTGTTTGAATTCCTACGGTCGAACCATGAATAACCAGGAAGGTCGGGTCGTAACACACTTCTTCCTGCGCTAGGCACACGCCGAATGCCATCGACCCACAAAACGTCTTGCCCACCACCGAGCGAGGTAGCGCTGACCGAGTCGGAGATCGCGAAGCCCCTGTGGACGTTGACGTTGGTGAGGGCCAGGAGCCCGGCGTCCACCTCGTTGATCTTTCGTTGGGCGTTCCTCTTCCTCTCCTGCCAAAGACGAGCAATATACGCAGTAGGCACAAACAAGAACAGTTGTAGGTGAGGGAGTGAAATGAAATATTCACACACAACCAACCGGATCGACGAAGGGTTGCTTCCATAATTCACGGCGTTACAGTAGTAAGACTTTCTCCCGATGATAGATACAGATACCATGGATCATGAAGCGTTGTAAGAAGCATTGCAACAAGCGGAATCATACGGTATGGATCTACGTCAGCCCTATGCAACAAATGTTTTTACTGTTGTTTTCGGCAGGCACTGTTTGGCAAAACACAAATATATTCTACTGTAGGAGGGAAGGGCGATGAAGAGCACGAATGAATGCGGTAGAGCGGTAGTTCGTTCAGAATAAAAGTTGGATACATCTTAGGATTGCGAGAGTGACGACGGAACGGATAACGGGATGATTCCGTCAACGCGTGGACCATACAGAAGCGGAACACAACGATCGACAAGGCTGTGACCACGACGTCGTAGGTGCTGGTCAAGAGTGAACACCCGAACTTGACGCACGCCACAAGCCACAAGACGTTTTGCCTTGTAGGGGGTTTCGAGTTCGAAGCTTTAAAAGAAGCAAGTTTGGACCTTCACTCAAGCGCGAGTGAACCCGTACTCGCGTATCCTGCCAGCCTTTGGTCCACAAAACAAACAACTGCCTGCCGCCCTTTCGCTCCATCTTTAACTCGGGAAGGCAGCACGGACAGCAGGTGCAAATGAACACGATCGCCGTCACCGGGAACGCCATCCACGCCACGTTCGCGAGCCCCCGGAATTTCACCTCGTCCTTCTCCAGCTTCTGCTTCTTCTTCTGCAACTGCTCGACCTTGGTGCTCTTGGTGCGGTCATGCTGGATGGACATTTGCATGTCCATGTTAGCCGCCTGGGTGAGGATATCTGAAGTTTTCGTTTGGAGAGTTGGGTTGGGCTTTTCCGATCAAATATCGTAGAGGACACAGTATTCACAGCTGCGGAGAATGAGAACAACACTATTAATGTTCAAGTACGTGCGATATCGCAAACGGGGCTTTTCCGGGATGTGCCGGAGGGTTTGGCTTGCTCGCCCGAAATCGACACTACCATTGCTTTTCTGCGTGTTCCAGGTTTCGTCGTCCGTAACGGTGGGATTCATTCATTAGGATATCGTATCGAACCTTTCGGAGTATCGTATCGACTCGTTGCATCGATATCGATCAATCGGAAAAGTTCATCACATACAGTAGCACGGTCGTGTTTAAGGCTTTAATGCCATGAAGGGCGCCACAAATTGCGTACGATTTATCGCAAAGCGAGAAGAGAGCTGCTACTGGAGCTGCTGTCCTTTCATTTGATTATCTGTAAGAGTCTGAGCTTCTACAACAAAAAAATATGCACGCAATGAACAACCCACAGAGCGCATCACGATGTGTGCACTGCACGGTATGGGACTTGTCACAAATATACATTTGTTGTGGAACAGGAGGTACGATGCCCAGCTAAATTCGTCGCTGTCGCTCACGGACTTGGTGGCAATCTCACAAACACAGGTGCTTGTTCATTTCTCCTGGACATCATCGCTTCGACTCTACTGCCGAAATATAAACACATACAACCGGTGCACACGGCCGCCCATAACACCCCCCCAGCATAGACCGCTAGGCTAACGATGGCCGCACGGGATTCATATTTCCTAGCCAAGATGAAGTCTGGGTCTCCCCCTGTGCGAAACGAAGAGGACGCCACACTAATACACGTTCTCCCACTGCCAGCACTGCCAGCACACACACCCAGGCTCCCGGACGACGGTCGGCGGTCTCACCGCAGGGGTAGCAGTCCGTCGTCCAGGTCAAGCACAGAAGGACGGTCGGGCAGCGACGCCGATGCCCGTATCCATATCCCGTTTCGAAAGCACCTCCCAATCTCCGCCCGGGTGCTCCACGCGCCATTAAGGGTCGCAATGTTCGAAGACGGTCGCCCTGAAAACCTTGAGGTGGCCGTCGCTGTCGGCGAACTCACGGCCGACCGGCGTACCCACCGGGAAGAGCTGAAGCGTGCTCCCTGGACACCACTTCGCGTTCGCCCCGGGTAGGCGGCCCGGCGGGTCGTGGGGCAGCGCCCTCGCAATGTTAGGTCGCGTGCAGTGCGTGGAAGACGTCCAGTTGGAGCGGCGAAAAGCTCTCGCCAGCCTCGTCCTCCGTCATCCAGGGCGAGAGCGAGAGCGCACCATCCTGGCAGCCTCCTTGGTACTCCCAAGTCCACGTCGGCGTGTTGCCAGTTGTTGGCCAATTCGCCAGCGGGTGTGCGTTGAAGACATGGCCGTGCTGCAACGGTCCCAAGCAGTAGTTTATCTTTGTCGACAGCATGAAAGAAGTTCAGCACGATCCACGATGCATGATCCGACGACGACGGGGTACGGCAGTAATTGTTCCTCCGTGTTCATCCGCGATCCCGGATGATCTTTCATTCCACCGTGCACCAACCATCGTATCCACCTCACCGCAAGCCGAAACTACGTGTGTGTAGTGTGTGGTCACTTGGCCAGCGAGTGCGCTCTGAAGACATGCCAGTGTGGCGGCGGTCTCAAACAACATGCCCTCAGCAACAGCAGCAGAAGTAGAGGGGTGGACAGATCCACGGATGGATCCGACGGGTAAACGTTTCATTCTACAGCCGACCAGCGGATCATGGGGCAGGCGGATATACATGTACATGTAGCATTCCAAGGCATGTGTCGCACAACGGGACCGTTTGGTCATGCTCATGCTCGGGCACACCACAGCCTTCGTGCTTTCTGCACACCGTTGTAATTGTAGGCCGAACACCGTTGGCACGAACCAACGACCATCCACCATCCACACACGCGAGGCACACAGCTTGAGCATCAGGCCAGGCTTAATCAGCCAACTGACTTGACACGGAACCCCAATGAGCTGGAGAGCCATGATCGCGCTGAGTTCATTGGTATCCCCGGGACATGTCAGAGTGCCCGCACAACTGCATTGAAACGCGATTATTTCATCATCTTGTTGCTTGCATCGAAACACTACACATACTTTTTCGGCCTGGACGGCAAGGGAGAAACAACATTTTTTGCTCCTTCAATTCAATCACTATAGGCCAACCTTTCAGCAAGTACACCACGCCGTGTTCCGCCAACGTTTCAAACCTATGGCACCGTCTATTTTGTGCCACCTCCTCATGACCATCACATATGTGTCAATACCGAAAAACTGTTGGCTCACTCGAACCATACCAATCAGCCTACCCACCCCCCTCCCCTGGCCGTCCGCACAAAAATATGCTTGATTTCCGTTCTAGGACTGAGGGGATAATGGCACGTACGTCAAATTCCCGAGTATTTCCTTGCCTAAAACAGGCAGGCATACATGCCAAAAGCACACACCCCACCCAAGTCTTCAGTACGCTCTACTTCAACTGGCGTCTCGCGGATGGCCCGTGCCAGCCAGCAGCAGCAGCAGCAGCAGCAGCAGCAGCCCACGATCAAAACCATCCAACGGAGGAGTCACGCCAAAGATCAATGTAGGCAAGCCATCGAGAAACGACGCCCATCGTCCGCCGCATGAGCGATCCTCTCTCCCTGGCCCCACTTGTTTCTCCTCTCCATTTAGCCCTCTAGCGTGCGCTCCGACTTGATGCTGGCCATCATGTTGACAAGACGGTCCTTTCTGTGCAGCCGCTCCATGAACTCGGTGAACTTGTGGCTCACCTAAACAAAATTACCATCGCGGCAAAACAAGCGACACAGGTCCAAACGGCGATACGACGACGGTGCAACGGCAAAACGCCACACGTTCAGTGGCTCGCGAGACACTCAACACAACACTGAACAAAAAAAAGAAACATACATACACACACAGAGAGAGACCTCCGAAGGAAGGCCCAGCGTGAGGCCGGCAAGCCCCACGACTACAGTAACGCGACATGAACCACAAAAAACAACAGCTACCACAACAACAACAACAGAGATGACGATGAAAGCACCAAAAACCTACCTCGATCTCGTCGATCTTGGAGATGGCCACGACACATCGGAGGGCGCTGCGGATGAGGTCGTTGGCTCGTTCCACTTCAGTGCCCACCTGCTCAGCCTTCACCTGTGACACGGAACATATCACAGACAGAACAAAAATTCATTCCCCAGAGCGCAACATGACACACCCTAATCTAGAGGGTATCAGCCCACCATGGCTGGGGGCGACATGAAATAAACGAACGCGTAGATGAGAACGCGGTGCGTGATGAAGACAGCCCGTGCCCTAATAAGAGCACGGTCGCAATGAACAAGTAGGCACAGCAGCGAGACACGGGCAGAATAACCAGCACATCATACTCGAGACCCTGGAGTATGCATACAACAGAGACAACTCAAAGTGACGCACAAGGGTACATTTTGGGGGGGAGAGGACAGAACGCTACCGTCGCACAAGCCGAGGGCACCGACTCCACCCAACAAATAAAAGGAGGAAAGGTGTTACCGAACCATAGCCATATAGAAATCGATCCAACCAATCTTTTACCCTACGCAAGAAAAACGTGGCATGACACGCATACACACGCACCTTCTTTTATCGCATCTACTTCTGTGTGCGCTCGCCCAACGAGGCTGAGAAACGCGTCTGTTCTTGCTGTTGCCGCTATTGTTATCGCATCAAATGTCACCCCTGTCCCCGCTCGGTACCTTCTAATATCCGTACTGGTCCAACTAACGCGGACGCCTTCTTCCAACTCACAAGCCAACTACCGTGTATGATACAAGATAACACACACCCTTGACCGATTTTTCAAAGCTCGATTTCTCGACAGCAGGAAGAATCACAGCGCCGAAAACAGCGGCGTTGGAACCGTCTCGCCGAGAGCTTTTCGAAAATGGATCATTTCGTTTATGCATCCTCTTCGTGGAGTAATCGAGCTTTGAAAATCGGTCCAGGGGGTGTGTTATCTTGTGTCATATACGGTACCCAACAAAGGACTAGCACACACAAGCTATGATAAAACGCCCTAAAGTATATCCACAAATTAAACGAACAGCACACAAGTAAGAGAGAGAGAGCAAAACAAAGGAGTCAGCCCAAAGCTTAGGCACGACACCACCACAAACCTGCTTGTTGCACGTCTTCTCGAGGGGCTCGATGAGAGAGTTGAGCGAGCCAAGGACGCCTCCGGGGGAGTACTCGCTGATCTTGGACACGATCTGGTGGCAGAGCATCTGGACGTCTGGCTTGGAGTCGCCCGTGCCCTGGAAAGAAAGGAAAATGACATGAATGAGTCGATGAGTCGTAACAGAGTGGGCGGGGAAGGGAGGATCAGGGGAGGGGAGCGCCGGGAAGGACTGCGCGACGAAAAGCAAGCAGTTTCTGGACGCATGTCTGCGTGCGCGAGATGCATGCGATAAGCTTGTCTCTTGTTATCGGCCCTACGTCAGCATAGCTCACGGCAGGACAGGCAACGCGAGTCGGGAGGGCGGGTACAAGCAAGGCTTAGGAGGTCTTGCAGAAAGGCTTAGGCGGTCTTGCACACTCCGGCCACCCCATACCACTGCTGAAGTGCTGCAGCATGTCGGCTAGGACCACCTCCGAGGTTGTGAGGCCGTATACTGTACAGTACCGGACTGTTATTTTTTCTTTTCTTTGTCTTCGCTTCAAATCAGCGCTCACAGCACTCGTGCCGTTTTACTCCAACCCGTGGTCACACTGCAAGCACGAAATTATCACGACAAGTTTCACGGGACATCCCACATGTCTAAGAACATCCAGACATTCACCGTGATTGTGTGTGTGAGAGAGAGAGAGAGAGACTCCATGCCAAGCGAGCGTGGCCCAAGACATGCAGATGCATACATACGTCGACGAACTTCTTTCTACAGCAGCCCTAAAACAACACAACGGTATTCCTCTATACACAAAGAAACGAGGCAAGCCTGAGACAGAGCGGGGTTGGAGTATCAAGACGCCCTTTGCTTGAAACAAAGTGCAAAACATACGAAAATCGGTAGGAACTAAAAAAACAACCAACGATGATTGTCCCAACACATCCCTCCACCAACCAATCTACTGGGCGCCATGTGCGAGCGTGAAAGGAGAAAAACACCGAAAAAAACAACAACGAGGACGGAAACAAGGAAGAAAGCACACAGCGGGACGGGCGAAGCGTATCGATCGATCCTTACAATAGGCGCGGGCTTTAAGCTTTCGTTTCCACCAAACAGCCTCCTTGCACAGTCTCAGGCTTGGGGCTAGGGTTAGACATACCTTGGCGAGGTAGGGCATTAGGGTGCCGATGTCCAGCCTGTTGGGCAGGTTGTCGAGGATGGTGTCGATGCACGACAGGGCCGCCTTTCGGAGAGGCTCGCCGTCGTCCACCTTCCAAGTCAAAAACAAGAAACAAGCAGATTGCACAAGCTGGTTGAATGAACGATTATTTAACAGCTAATTTGGTGACTGGCGACAACGACGACGACATCAAACAGGTTAGAGCTTCAATATTGAAGCTAAAAACACGAACATATGATGTGCTTGGACTTGACCAAGAGAGAGAAGGTCGTTTGAATAATTTTGTGGCAGCTAATTCGATATCCGGTAAGAACAATAACGACGTCAAACAGATGGGATCGACAGCATTGCATCGCCCGTCCTCCCTCACGATCTGACTTGGCGGAACAAGTGTTGAGACTGAGAGACAAAAAAAGACATCACATCGCAGGTCAACCCCATCACACTAACCATACGTTTTCTACCTCATCAACAGCCACACACACAAACTCCCCTTTTTGCGATGGTACCTTTGCCGGGGCTAACGCATTCGAAGGAACATCACAGGGGTGAAAAGGAACATCACCGGGCTGGATAAGGGCATGACCAACGTCGCGCATCACCCCAGCGGTTCATTAACCCCCCTCAACCACCAGTGCCAAACCATTTGGAGATGTCTACCATACCATGGGTCAAAACTACGGGCGGAGGGTTGGATGCAGCATCTCCGTTTGGCACTGCTGTCAAAACAGAAGCATGTACCTTGTGCTTGAATGGCCCCAAGTCGACGATTCTCTCCAACTTGAGCTCCACGGTGGTGTAGAGGGCGGGGATGATCTGGCCGGGCAACAGCTCTGACACCAGGAAAGGCTGCACGAAACACAACACAACAATAAAACATAGGCGCAGAACGAGCAGGGGGAAATGAGTCATCGTGCATGAGCCCTTTCTTAACAAAAAAGAAAAAAACACGAGGACAAAGGGGAAATAGTGGCAACACCGAGAGACAGAAGGAGCAAACAGGGGGCATCACGCGTCAACCCTACAGCCCACCACAAACACAGAGAATAGACGTAAGGAAGAGAAGTTGGAGTATGAACACAAGCACGTCCCCTTAGCAATGTATTCGCTGGGTGTTCAGGCCTGGTTGCTGCGTGCTAAAGAGGAGCTAGCAACGCGCGCGTGTGCGTGTGGTCCGCGGGGTGCTGAACCGCTTTCATTGCGGTACGAGGGACTCTACACAAAGCACACGCCCTCCCGCTGGTGCCGTAGTGAAGTGCAGCGGGGCCACCCGACGCGAACCTACTTGCGCGGCACAGGCATCAAACAAGGGCGGTTACCTTTTGACAACAAGCGCGAAATCATCAACAAACAGCATGCCTTTGGCAGCGCGCGAGCGAAAGTCAGAGAAACAAACACCAACCGCCACTGGCAACGCGCAAATTCAGCAACAAACAAACAGCAACAGCAACAGCAACAGCAACGACATTGACGCTATGCGCTTCCTTCTGCACTTGACTGCCGTGCGTGCGTGTGGGGGCACATTTCACACACCTGGTGGTGCACCGCCGCGTTGACCATGAGGAGGGCTGCCTTCTTCACGTCCAGGTCATCGTTGTTCATCATCTCGAGGAAGGACTCCATGTGGGGGGACAGCTCCTCGACGGGGGCATTGCCGGCCATGCAGTACTTCAGGGACGTCGCCAGAGTCCACCTGAATGTCATCAAGTAGCGCGACAACAGCGAAACGCACAGAAGCGGAAATGTTGAATCAGTGCTGCTGTGCTGTGCTGTACGTCCCAACAAAGTATCGCCCTGCGGTACTGAAGTGCACGGAGCAAGGCGTTGTCCTGCTATGATTAAGTCTTATTGCAGTACTTGAGGGGCGTCGCCAGGGTCCACCTACATACATGTGACCAGCCCAGCCCCAACACCAGCGGCACTCATATGGGAGCGAAGTTTGATGCGTGGTGTTGCGTTGACTTTAGTACTTCTTTACAGCAGTGTATCGTGCTCGGGTTCCGAAACGTACGTTGCTAGTGTTGCGGGCTGTGCAGCGCTTCTTCAGAGCAAATCGCACATATGGGTAGATTTCGTTCTGATACCGGGGATAGAACCGAGCGTTATCGTGCAAAAATGATTCGCGAACGCGCAAGGTTCAAGAAAACGATCTGCAGTACATGGTGTAGGTGGCACCGGGCAGGTGGGCTCTCAACTGTGTACAAATAGCAGGAATGGGCAGAGTGGTAACAGAGCCTACACAGAAGCAGCAGCAGCAGCAGCAGCAGCAGCAGCAGCAGCGGCACCAACAACAGCAACAACAGCAGCAACAGCTACACCACCAGCACCAACAACATAAGCTACTCACAGCGTGAGGGGGTTCGGCTTGTCTCCCGGCAGCTTCAACAGCTCCGGCACGAGCCTCTGGGGGTGCATGCTGGTCAGCACACCCAGGCACTCGGCAACCATATTGCGGACCCCCTCCTCGTCGCTGGTGCAGTGCTGGAACAGGTGAGGCAGCACCTGTTATTTTATTCCCAAAAAAAGGCGCAAAGCGAAAGGGGTGTGTGTTATCTATAACGCAATCCAGCTGACGGTTTGCTCTCTGTTAAAATGGTAGTCGGTTGGCCTCGCTATTGTGTCGGGAGGAAAAAATGGTGTTGTTTCACTTTCCCGCCACGAAGAGGAACGTGATTAATCCAGGAGCTGAATTCGCAGCCCCGATGCATCGCCAAACATCTCAAGCCTGTTCACCACCCGCAGCGAAAATCAAACCAGGTGGATCAAGGAGCTGGACTCGCAGTCCCGATGCATCGCCAAACATCTCATGCCTATCTATCAACCGCGGCGAAAAAATAGTACCGATCAGGAGGTAAAACAGGCAAGATCTTCACACCAGCGGACAACAAGGCCTTAAGCCAAGCCACGCTACGTGCACCTACGTCTGCCCCACGGCTGTGAAGAGACCAAGTCTACTACTAGCTGTTCGACCTGCGCATTCCGTACCTGGTCAACGTAGGGGCCGAACTCCAGCCCCGGGGTGTTGGCGTGGCACACGATCACCTCCTTGAGGGAGGACAGCAGCAGGTACTGGTGCTTGACCGACCTCTCGAACGCGTCCAGGATGCCGGGCAGGTACCTGTCCATTCGAGACACGCATGCATGCATGCATGCATCCCGTCAAAGGCGGGGATGGCGGCGGCACCGACGACGGCGGGCAGTGGCGGTGGTGGTGGTCGCCGTGACAGCTCCAAGTCGATGACAGTTGTTTTCAGCTTTCGTCAGGGCCACGACATCCATCAATCGCAGTGATCTATACTTTCGATCAAGATACGTGCCAAAAGCGACATAAATGTATCAGAGGTGTTGCCGTTTTCTGCTCTTTGCTGCTGCTGTTGATGCAGCCCCCCCCCCCCTTGGGCTGTTAGCATTGTCATAAAAAAAAAAAAAATTGCGTCGTGGGTTGCTGTTTGTTCCTCACTCTAAACTCACATGGGCATGTTGCCGAACGCGACATGCCCCAACGAGTACCCCGCCCCCGTCTTCCTCTCCTCGTTTTCCCCCTCGAAACGCCCCAAAATGATGCCCTACCCAAAAAAAAAAAAGGGGCGCGACCGGGGAAACGGGGGGGAAACGGGGGGGGGGGGGGGGGGGAAAAATTTTTTATCTCCTTTTTTTTAAAAAATTTCTTTTAT